AGACGTGTGCTCTTCCGATCTCCCCAAAACCCCAAAACCCCAAAACCCCATAAATCTAGGATTGAGTTAAAAAAGTAAATATATAAATAATAATAAAATGAGTAGAGTATCACAAACCTCTTAGGAGTTTCCATTATTTTCAAACAATCGAAGCCCTTAATCCTCTCCTAATAGGCCATAGGGCAAACTTTGTCTTCCAGATTGCTCCTCTGGTGTCAGTAAAGAGTTTCCAACTTATTTTAAGAATGATCACTAACTTCGAAGTAGAATTTCACTAGATAATCCTTATATTGAGGAAGACTTCAGAGATAAAACAATAAATAATGCCAGAAGAGGTAGTCTTCAATCAGATCCTCTAAATCCCTTAGCTACTATAAGAAATCACAACTAATCTTACAACAAATTCGATAAGGATTTCAAAAAAGAAAACATCTTAAAGAATACTGATAGGCTTTTACTAAAAAATCTAGATAAAAAATTCCTCTCAAAGTTTGACTTCTCTAAGGAATTGGCGATGCCAGGAGGAAGTTAAACTGATAGAGCAGGTGGAGCAAGAAATGACAGAGTTCAAATGTCAGTGGATTTGGTTTAAAGTTTTAACGATTTTAAGCTTGAAGAAAACTATAAAGCTGATAAGCAAAATTACATAAAACTGCCTCAAATCCCAATAAAGCAATATGACTGTTTAAGAGACAAAGTAGAAGTAATTTAACCACCAGACCTCGAAATTGAAGGTTACTCAAAGTTCAGAGATAAGTATTTCAGCATGCTTCAAAATTAGAACAAGCCATTTAACAAAAAATTAGGGCTCTTTACATTATTCTCTGATAAAACTACTGGAGAAAAAATTATGCACAAGATCTATGATTAAATAAAAAGAGAAGGGCTAAAACTAAAAGAATTCAAAAAGATTTAAGCCTAACATGAAGTGTAAGTCCTTAATCTAGAATAAAGCACAGCTAGAGCTTTGAATGATTCAAATTTGTCAATAGAAACTAAGATCATGAAAGGCTCTAATTCAGGGAAAGTCTTAGCCTTACCTAAAAACAGGATTAAGTACAGATATTTTAAAGACGGAGAAATATTTGAGAAGAAAGATGATACTCTACTTAGAAGCTCCCTAGATTAATTAACTTTATCTAAGTAATTGTAGAAGAAAGGTGTCCTAATTGCAGGTAACTCAGCCTAAAATACTTAAACAATTAATTTCAATGATTTGGAATCTATAACCTCCTATCCAGCTTATAATAATGTCCTCCCTGAGGTCGATAAATAAACTCTCATTAAAACAAAGAGTCTCTCAAATTTGTTTAAAAGAGGATCACTATCCTCACTTCACTCGTCTTTCAAACCCTCATAAGTACCTGCAATCAATGATGATAGAAAAATTATTATTGCTTAGCATCTTAAGTACCTGAAAGACAATGAAAAGAATCTAGAAAATCTTAAGAATGAGATTAATGACTTTGAAAGTAGAAACCTTAAATATGAAACTTAAAAGTTTGAAAAGAGCCCACCACTTTACTCTCATGCTAGATTGCTATTTGAACAAGAATTCAGGGAATAGGAAAATTTGAAGAACTATACAATGATGAAGTAAGGTAGTAACGAGGACTAGATGCTTTCTGTCGGAGAGATGAGTATTAATCAGAGACTGATGCAAACAGATGCATTCAAAAAATTCAAAAATCTTGAAGAAGTCTAAGAGGAGAAAAATGAAACTTGACATTAACTGGGTAGAAATTCTAGGATTTTAAGTCCTAATTTAAGATATATAATTTATATGATATTCATTCAACATATTTAAGACTCGAATTCAACTTATAACTTATTTTTTCTTATGGGGTTTTGGGGTTTTGGGG